AGGTCCTCGCAAATTGAGACCACTTTGAATATTTCTTTGCATTTAAGGGATAAGAAGGTTGTATATTTTGGATATCTCTTCTTCCTTGGTTTACTATAGAGTTTTCCATTTGGTCAAAAGATTTGGGAGGAATTTGCTTCAGACATTGTGGAGGCAAAGGATAACGATGAAGGCTATACAAGCAGAACAACAATGAAAGTTGTGTTGGTTTAGATAGGTATAACAACAACAAGGGAAGGCCGAAAATGAAGGCAAGTCAATACAAAAAACTCAGAATTCCGACAGCGACAATGAAGGCTCTGATACTATAGTAAATTCAGAGAATCAGAGAGGGAAAAGCTTGATTTTATTGTATAAAAGTATTCCTATTTATAGATCTATACAATATATCTTTATAGAAAAACAAATAATTACATATTCATGCATAATTTTCCTAATATAATCCTTCCTAAACCAGTTACCCAAATATGGAAGGAGATCAGCATGATCCAGGTGAGCCCCTCATAGATTAGGGGTGTCAATTCGGGTCAACGGGTCGGGTTCGGGTCCAACCCGAATTGACCTGAGCATAAACGGGTTGACCCGAACCCGACCTGTTTAGCTTAACGGGTCAGGACATACAACCCGGACCTGACCTGCGCGGGTTGCCGGGTTGATCCTTACCGACCCGCGAACCTGAACTGATCTGGATTTCCCGAACCCGAGCATCCTGACGCGGACGGCTAGCTTGGACCTGGGAGAACGCATTACGCATGTGATGGCTGGCGGGGTGAGTCGTGTGCGATGGCCGGAGGGCGACGGTGTGAGACGTGTGAGTGCAAGCGCCAGGCGGATTGTGAACCACGGAGGAGCGGACCGACGAAACTCCGCGTCTTGCCACGTGCGGTCGTGGACTCATGCGGGGATGGAAGATGGCTAGGTAAGCCTAGCATGACGCGGACAGCTAGCTAGGACTACAGGCGGCACGCGATGTGACGGAAGTCCAATCCCTTGATTCCCTCCCACGCAACCTGAATTCGCCTCCCACACGCGGGAAAAATTAAAACGGGCGGAGCCGTGGAGCTATCCCGGGTCAGATTTGATCGCATTCAGGTCTTAAACGGGTCAATTTCGGGTTACCAGGTTGACTCGGACCCGACCCGTTTTTTAAAACGGGTCGAAAATTGAAACCCGAACTTGACCGTTTATTAAACGGGTCAACCCTAAACCGGATTTTTCGGGTCAGGTTAGGGTCTGGTTGACGGGTCGGGTCAATATTTGACACCCCTATCACAGATTCCCATCCGGCTATGGGATCAAGTGTTAAGGGATGGCTGGGATTTAATAAAGACCGGCGTGATCTAGGTGAGCCTCCCACGGATTTCCATCCTGGCTATGAGATCAAGTGTCAAAGGACGGCTAGGATTTAACAATCTTCAAGCTTAGTGCTTCAATAAATATTGCTCATATCGTCAGGGGAGTAATTTTGGTGTTGTAGCCTTTGGAAAATGATGAGTATCTAACTAATTTAATTTGGTGTTATTAATGTAGTGAACACCGTTGGAGGATTCTGAAATATTATTTGAGGTGATGGACCAAATTCACGCCTATGAGCATGCCATCATTTATGACTCTCAGGCTCCTTTCCTCTTAGGCGATTACTTTCTTTAGGAAACCAATATCTTGGCTTAGCTCTAGATTATTTTATAAAGCAATGATAAGTGAGTAACTATCTTCTAAGAAATGGAAATTTTCTTTTATAAAGTTATTTGTACCATAAATGTTTCTTATCTCATTAGCAACCATATAGAAATCCTAAACCAATTTTCATTTGGCTATCACAAACATAGATGTTAATATAATTAAAAAACCTTATTGATTATCTACTTAATTACTCATAATTTAAATCTCTTACATAATATCTTATTAATTAACTTTACATATTTTTCTAACTCATACATTTAATTTCAATTTAACATTACATATGTATGAGTTAGGAAACATATGTAACCTTAATTAGTAAGGTATTCTATGAAAAGAGAAGCATAAAATTAAGTTTAGTGCTTAGAGATGAGGATGCTCAGGTGGATGAGTGGGTTTACTCTTAGAGACAATGCTAAATGAGCACAAGACGAGAAAATGTTGAAGTAGTTCCAGTGGCAAAGAAGATTAGAGTCACCTTAGATGGTTTGGCCACATAAAACGTCGGTCTTATGATAACCCGGTTAGGAGAGTAGATGTATTAGATTTGACCTATGTTAAGAAATGTAGAGGTAGACCTAAAAAGATTTAGTCAGAAAATATTATAAATGACCTTTTTTAATTAAATTTAAATGAGAAATTGACTCTTAACGGGATATGATGGAGAAAAAAGATTTATGCAGTCAACCCCACATAGTGAGATAAATGCTTGATGATGTTGTTGTAGTATACAAATAATTAAACAACAATCCATACCTTACATATTAAGTCCTTAATAGATTCTTATTTATTAACATGCATAAGTTGAATTGAGGAAAAATCATGAGTTGAACACTAACTCAAGCTAATTTCATCTTAATCATACCTTTGAAAAGCTTTTGGTTAGGTTTTACCTTTTTTGCTGGAAGAAAGGGGGAGGAAAAAACCTTGCAAAAACCCTTACTAATCCTTGTGAGTTTGTATGCATTGATCTAAATGACGTAGAACTTAGGGTAGAATGAATTTCATCTGAGTTATAGAATTGATATTTTCTAGTTTACCATTCAATTGAAGTAGACGATGAAAAGGAAGCTCTAAAACTTTCTTCCTCATTTGTAAAATCAACCCAAACCCGCAATTTCAGTCCCAGGGCTTGGCCACTTGCATGCTTGAGTGCAGCTACGCTTTCCTCCTTTGCTATTTCTCTCTCTATCTCGCGTGTGCATGCACGAGCATATGTCTCAACTTAATCTACGTCGCCCTTTCCCTCTCACACAATCTTCCTCTCACTCTTGGACCAGGTCTCGCCCACACTTGGTTTGTTGCCTCCCAAAATGCTTTCTCGTCTTTTAAAGGCGTGTAAATGACTCATTTGGGTCGATTCAATTTCAATTGAACCGACCGAACACTTCATTTCATTTTTTTTGACCTATTTATAATTTTCTAATTAATTAAAATTTTAACTCTCAAAATTGTATTTTATACATAAATATTTTTTTGAGAAATTAATCTATTTAACATAAATTTGGTTTCAATCACTCTATTAAGTCTTAAATATCGATAATATTTCAATTAATTAATATTTTTAATCAACTAAATAAAATTGTACATCTTTACAATCTCCCCACCTAAAAAATTTAGTTCACGAAATTTGCATATTATTACTAGTTACAATTATATAATCTAATATATTCACTAAATATTATCATGAGATAGTGTAATAATTTGAACTTGGATTGGTTAGGCACGGGTGATTTTATAAAGTGCATTTCTAAAGTAGTAAAGCAAGATATTTCAATTCAGTATTTATTAACAACAAATTAATATGTACTTGTAATAGCAACACTTCAACAATTTTTATCTTTAATGAAAAATTGTATGTCTATTCACGTTAGTAGGTTCCTTAAGACTCCTGCCGAGTTGTAATATATACTCGGTGTTATACATTCTTTCTTTGGTTGATTCTTACTAAGAGTCAGTGCATCATACTTAGTCATCTTCTGCTATTTAATAGATCCTTTATTAAAAATTTTTCATTTAACATTTCTGAGCAAAGTTGGGTCGATTCCTTATTTGCTTCCCTAGTTGGCAACACGTATAGCATACATTGGAACCCAAAAGACTTTCTCCTTGATGCAACTTCCCACACTTAACACAAGTTCTCATAGTATTACTAGAAACATCTCTACTAACTTTTCTAGTATTGGACTGTCTTTTTCCAAGTGGAGCCTGCTATCTAAGTAGCCTGCTCATTCGCCTCAATGCTTTCTCTTTTAGTGCAAATTTTTGTGCTCCGAAGTGGTTTGAAAATCAATTTCAACTTTCCTAACACTCTTTTTCAGTTCTTAGTAATCTTTGTTTCCCATGGAAACCAATGGTTGTCTAATTGTGCCCCTTAGTCCACATAAAAATTAGTGATACATTTCGCCTGCATTAAAACATTATTTGAGGCACAAACCTTGCAAGATTATTAAATTCTGAATCGTCCTACAAGATTGACTGATCACCTTGCTCCAACCTTATAAATTTGTCATGCATTTGCTATTGTAGAAAGAGCACAATTAGACAACCATCTAAATTTGAGAGTCGGTTCAACATGTAGATTTGTCTTGAGACTGACCTGCAAAGGTGGTAGGTAGGCAATTCTTCTTTTTTTTTCCAATAGGGCAGAACATACCATGAAGTATCTTCTCAATACGGATCAACTAGTTCTCAGCTTTGACAGGCTCTTCAACTTAAAAAATGGTCGTCGCATGTCTCAAAATAAGTTTTAAGTATTTATTTGTTGTAGCAATGCTACCTCCACTATATTGGGCCTAGAATATTGGATTAGTTAAGTTACTACTGCGATCTTTTGAGTGAAAGCATCAATTGAAATACTAATTGCACTAGATTTTGGGACAACAGTTACTTGTGATCCATTAACCTTTGCGTTAATTGTATTCTCATCTGTAGCTTTCCTTTGGGATTCCATGGGCCTGATTTGCGAAGAAATTATGATTTAGTTGACCCTTTAAATGAATTAACATAATACCTATTCAAACCTACTAACCCTGTCATAAAACTTTTATTGATCAACCTAATGATTCTTTCGTCACAACTAGACTATTTCCTTTTTGATAGGCTTAAATTGAGCTTATTGAACGCATGTAACATATTGCAATTTATCTTATTTTTTACTCTTTTGACTTAAATTTACTTTGAAGTTTTGACATTTTGATAAGAACCATTTAGTGTTGTATTTTTACTGGATGCAATTCAACCAGTAAATTTCTTTTTCTAGGCCATATGCAGCTCTAACCTTTCATGTGTGTTTCTAACGTTTGGTTCTCTTTTGACAGAGAGATTTGGTGGTTTGCTCACATGGGATACTTGCTTCAAGGAGGGATTGTGTTGCCTTCTCAGCCATGGTTCGTAGCTCCTTCGCACTTGGTATTAGTTCAGAATCTGCCACCACTTCTATAGACAATCCATCCTGTAGTGGAACATTTCAAAGGCGTGACGACATGACCGTTGATAGTAGTACTCTCCATGGAAGGCAATCTTCCAGGCTTCTGATGGACGTTGATAGAAAAACTGACGATAGCTCCACATCTCAGCTATCTAATAAAAGGAAGATAGCTGATAGGATTGTCTTCGCTGGCAAAAAACTTCCTCAAAGACCAACTTCTCGTGCTTCAAATGCAGCAGATGGTCTAGAAACGAGATCTAAAGATAGGAAGGTAATTATTGAATGCTTATGCATTTAAACACTAACTGTTTCTGCATTGTACTGATTCTTGCTCTCTTAGTTCTATAGGACATAAAAAGTCTTCCAAAGGAAAAGGTTATGACTTCCTATCAAGCATCCCTGCAGAACCTGAGACTTCCTAAAGGTTTTGTATATGTTCCTGTTGATTCTCTTCAAAAGGATGGTTCAGCAGCACATGATTCCGAGTCTTGTGAACGGCAAGAACCTGGTGGATAACCTGTGTGAAACACAGTTGATTATTCAGATCACTGAATGGTTATTCAGTTCTAGTCATCGAGACCTGTGGCAGTTCCTGATGTCTAGTTCATCGAAGGTTCGTGGATTCTTGAGCATATCCTGTCAAAGAAAACAGCAGAGTCGGAGTAATGGTTTGTCCAGTTTACTATTTATAATTTAGACGATTCTGCCATTGTTCAGAAAGTTTTGAAGCAAGATTGTATAGCTGAGAGAATTGTACAGAATATGAGTAGATTTCATTAATCCATGGTGCAGTTTCTGCTTGGTTGATTGCCTGTTTAAAGGGCATATGAAGCAACTTGGCTCCTGTAGCTGTACAATAGGCAACAGGAGTACAGTTTTTTTTTTTTTTTTTTGGCATTTTTGTAGGTATGTATGCTAGTTTAAACCATTGAGCTATATGATATGGTTCAGTAGCAACAGAGATGGCTACATAGTATCATCACATTGTACATATTACTGGTATTTGGCTCTCAATTATGCACGAGTTGAACCATACCCTCCATTTTAATTGCAATTTTTTTTTTTTTGTGAGATCAGTCTTGTTATCTTGTAATGTGAGGTTCAAGTCAACCATTTGCCACTGTGAGTTGAAGAGCATTCTGTTATTTCAGTATTTATATTTGATCTGGTAACAACCAAGGGAAGACCTCACCATTATCCTTGTATTTTTTGTATGAAGCTGCTTGTTGAATTCTGTTGGGTTAGGGTTTGGAATTTTGTTTTGGTTAAATAGTTTACTGAATTCCAGTATCTATTGATTTGTTTATGTTTTTTTTTAATTTATTTTCATTTTATTGATTTGTTTATGTTGTTTTTGAAATTAGGTGCTTTTCGTAGGGGTAAAGTTGTAACTTTAAAGATCTGGAAATTTGAAAGAAGCCATTGTACCGTTACTTAGTAGGTTTAACTTTTATTTTTTTGCAATTATAAATTGAATTTATATTTATTTATTCTCACATATGACTTAATATAGTATGATTTTTTTTTTGGAACGTGGGTATCTATCTGGTGCCACTCCAAAGAGAGTGCTTGGCTATGTAATTGATCCTTTAGTAGAATCTAGTGAGGCCATCCATCAACATCGGGCCCACATTTGCTTCATCCCACTGAAGAGATGAGGCTGTATTATAGGAGTATAAAAAGATTCACAACCATGAAGTTTTTGGTTGGGAATCGAGCAAAGTAGATGTGACAATAAAATTATAATTAAAAATGTAAGAAAAATGTGTTTAATTGGAGATGATTCACTAAAAATTAAAATAATAAGATACATTCTGATATGGCTCTTATAAATTTTGTGCCTTATTATTTTATTTTTTTTATTAAAAGTGAAAGTTTTTTTATACATCATAAAGTTTTTATGCATTGAATGAGTCAAATTTTTATTTAAATTTGTTAAAAATAGGATTAGTTTTGAAATTCTAATTAAATTTTTTTAGATCTATTTTTTTTTTAAATACAGGCTGAATTTAATATATTTATTCCCTTATCATATCGTGGAGGTCAAAATTTTATGTGACCAAATCATTAAGAATGTTTTCAACTTTCATCTTTCTTTGCAACATGATAGATATATCAAATTTAATTGTATATCTCTAAATAAAATATTAAGCTATTTTTAAAAATTAAGACTGAAAATAAAACAAATTAAACCTATCTAATATACATAAATTATGAATTATTTTAATAGATGAGCTCTTTTTTAATTAATAAAATGTTAATTAAAAATTGTATTTAATATCTATAATTGCATTTATTATATATATATATTTGTATGTTTTGAATTGACTTGAGCTGTTCTCAGATCAAATAGGCTAAATTTCAAGTTTTGAAAGATTTTAAATTTTTTATTATTTTTTGATAATTTTATAGCCATTGATGCGACTATTTTTTTTACAAAGCTAAATGAAGCTCTCGTGGAACTTCGTGCAAGAAGACTTCTAAAATTTTTAAATGCATATTTTTAAGTTGATAGTTTAAATAATCAAAGCTATCTAAATTGGCTTCAAATTAATTTTATTCAATTTCAAATTTCTTTTAAAACATGAAATTAATTTAGAGGCTTCATTTAAGACAATTTTTTTTACTATTTTTAAAACAATTTTTTGAGAATAATTTTTTAATTCAAAATATTTTTTATAAGCCATTTATTTAATCTCAACTAGATATGTGTTAGTTTGAATGTGGCTACATATTGTTTGGAGATCTAAATCAAATTATGTGAGATTTCATAAAGAAACGATCTAGGAAAATAATGGAGGAATAATGAGATATGTGAACCTAATTTAAAGTGACATATCTTCTTTCTTTTCATTCTTTTCATAATGAACATCATTAAAATATCCATTCCTTTGATAGTTGCTCTAATTGCACTGCAAATCCTTTTGACTTAACATCCTTATTTTATTCATAAGTTTGGTCCACGTAGTTATAAATTCCTCTAAATGCAGGGTTATGACTATCATCTTGACACTCTACTCTCCGTAAGTCTGGGAGTGGGCATAAAAGCGACTCCAAAATAGATTGGGGGTACACCTTCTTATAGTATGTATCAACCTTCTCCTAATTGAATTAGAGGACTTCCATTAATATGAAAAAGCCTCAAAATCATGTATGCCATAGCTAGAAGGAATAAGAGGAGATTGAATGGTTGGCGACGAGAACTACATTGCTAGTTCACCTTCTCTTTTAACAATCATCTGGATTCATGACTTTGGGGATGGGGGTAGTAGTAACTCCAAACTAGTCGTGCCCAACAAAAAGCTTCAACCACTCTTTCTTGTAGGAGGAATAGAGGGTTGGATCATAGGTGTCATGTTTCACAGGTGTTGATCGAAATTAAGGTAACTGTGTAGCTCACCTTAGTATGTTAGTTAGAAGTTTTGGCTATCAATCAAGATGACGGGTTCAAATCTTTTATATGTGATGATGTGTAAATTTGCCTTAATTAGTCTTAAAAAAAAAAAAGAGAGCACCTCATGTACAACCTAAAACTCTATAATAATTCTCCTAAAGCTTCATGAGACTCTAGTGATTGTGATTTATTGCTCAAAATAATAGATTGCAACCAACCCTTGTATGTTACTACCATGATATATGATAACACTTTGAATCACATCCTCATATAGACCCGTAGACCTTAGATCTTATGTTATTGTTATAATAGTTAGAGCTCCTATGAAAAGGGTCACAAGACTCTGGGCTCTTTCATCCTCTCTCTTTAGTTTGGTGAATTTGAAACAAAATTCAAATTCTATGCTATTTGTGCTAATCTGCCTTCTCAAACAATATAAAAATATCATTGACTTCATGAACATCAGATGAAACATTTTACTATGCAGCAGTGTATTAATATACTCATGCTGGAAGAGGGTTGTCCATTTTGGGTGATCTATTAAATCTTTCAATCAATTAACTAGGGCGGAACTATGTACTTCTGAGGAGCAATTGGCCCCTTAAAAAAATAAAAACTCTTAGTATAGTAATTTTAATTTTTGCTCCCAGCCGATCTTTTTCCACACAATTTGACCCTCCAAAAATCGAAAAGCCTCGTCCTTCTGCTATTTTCATCCGATTATGTTCAACTTTTCTAACACTATCAAATAAGTCTGTGAAAAGCGATTATGTGCAAAATAAATTATTTGTGCACTCATGTATATTTTTATTATTTTATAAGTTTACCACTTATTTTCCTGAGAACTAAGGCTGACTCCGCCCTTGTCAATGAAATATGTATATATGATGATGACTTTTTTCCAATAAAGATCAATGTAAGTGCTTCATGTAAGTGCTTCTCAATAATCTAATCCTTAACATCTATCATGATAAGGCAACAACTATATTGCATTCTATGTTCCGTGCTCGTTCTCTTAGCTAAGTGGGCATTAACAAACTCATTAAAAAAGAAAACTTTATGAGGATACGAGGCTGGACTTGTACTTTATCAACGGTGGGCAGCAAATGAAGAAGTTGAGGTCATCATAGAAATTTGTTGAATTAATCAAAAATATACATTTTGGTAATTTCAAATCCCCCACACAAATGCTTTTTTTTTTCCTTTACACTTCTAATACTCAACTAAACAAGAACAGAAATGCTGTTTTACTAATAAAACTTAACTAAAAATCGCTTAAATTGCTTTTGAAAGCCCTTCTTAAGTTGCAAAAACATGCATTGATTATGCAATCACAGGAATGCTGTTTTACTAACCTTTTAGAAAACATTAAGCAATCAAGCATAAGAAGGCTAGTTCCAGTCTTCATAGCAAATTCTGATTTCCATTCACCATTTTGAACAAGTAGTTCACAAGCTCTCGATTGTAATTACCATAGAAAGTTGGTTACTAGTCGCAATGACTTACAAAAGCTTCTTCAATGAAAGTTGGATGAAAATAACTTGAATGCAAACTAACAAAACATACCAGCTCATTGAAAACAAGGAGCACTATAGTACATACCATTGTTTTCCCCAAGGACTAAAGCTTTGTTTGACACGGCTTTTTATTGCTTCTTAAAACAGCTTTCTAGTTCAAAACTTTTGAACTAGAAAGCTGCTTTAAGAAGCAGTAAGAAAGCCGTCCCAAATGAAGTCTAAAATGATGCACAGTGTTCGGAAGCAGCAATCCAAGCTTCTACTTGATAACATGAATATGTGAGACCGCTTATTCAATTCTTCTTTCAGTTTTGCCTACTTTTGAAACTATGTGCTGCTTTTATGGTCTAGAATATGTGAACTATGAAGCCATTATTGTGCTGTAACAAGTATGGTTTTCACGAACTATATTAAAAGCAGGTGCTAATCAAACAGCTCTGCTCATTTGGTACTTGTATGAGCAACAGGGTCATCAACCTTGGGTTCAACATCATCAACTGCCATAGTAGTATTATCCTCAGAGTTTTCATCAACGGTTCCTGATCTAAGATCCTTTATATTGTTTATTTCCTCCGTTGCAGCATCCTCTTTCTGCGAATCAGTGTCATGTGGAGTTAATTTTAGTGAAACATCATCTGATGTAATAGTTGAAGTATCATTTGTTGTTCTTGACCCGCTATACTTTCCATTGCTGACTTTTCCTTTTGAAACCTCAAATAAACCGCTAGGATTTTCCAGCTTCTCATCTAATTGAGAGTTTGGTTCCCCAATATAGGGGGCACTTATACCCATTCCCTTGGAAAGACATACATACTTGAGCACTAATTTTTTATAGCAACTGAGTAAACTTTCAACATCATCAACTGTGAGATCACCTGCATTTGCATACAAGTACGGGTACTCTTTGCAATTTTCGGTTAATTCACCATCCTTCAAAAGTTCAGCAACCCCTTTCTTCTCTAAATCCGATATGGAAGGTCTGCTTGCAATCAATTGAGCCCTACTTAGATCCCTGTTCTCCTTGGAAGCATAGACTGCCTCGCCTTGAGATTTTGATCCATCTGTTATGCGCTCTGTGACATTCTCTGTTGTTTTATTCCTGTGATGAATGGTCTCTGTTGATAAACCCAATAGTTGCGCACGAGCTGATTCCATTTTCTTTTGAAACTCAGTTTCCTCCATTGAAAGAGACTCCCCATTAAGGTTCCATACAAATGATTCTGCAGATAGAATGTTTGTAAAGAAGTAAGCTGCTTCGGCAACCAAACGAGTTTTGCGTCTGTACCGTTGTATGTATACAAGATTTGAGTGAAGCTGCGGAGGGTTTGCCTGGACGATATCGACGACATCATAATAGCATTGGCGAAAACCCAACAAGTCAATTGAAAAAGATAATGTCAAAACAAATGAACAAAGCAAACAATAAACTTAAAAGAGATGGATAACTGTCTCAGGATAAATTAATAAATGAAGAAATGCAACCCCTACAAGTCACAGGAAGAAGGGAGTCAAAAAAAAGAGAAGTTCCACACCATGCATTTGATAATCAATCAAATACTCCCTGCTTCGTTCATTTGCAGGCTAGCTAATACTGGTGATCATTCAGAGGGGATAGGTAGGGTGAGAGTCAAAAAAACAATTTGTTCAGTTTCTCACTGTTATATTCATAGTTCCACCATGATGTCCAGCTATGACTACATTTTTTTTATTTGGTGAAAATTATGAGAAATTGTAGCACCTCACCATTCTATCAGCTAATGGCACTGGACGTCAAACAAAAGGTAAGGCATGGGTAACAAATGAAATGTAGAAGATGGTATGATCAGCCATGCCTCTAATTTCAAGCTTATGTCTTACTAAAAAGGAGAAATAATGATTCCTTTTACAATTTATAATCAACATTAAAGTCAAAATAAGTACTCTACATGATAAACTAAAACTTATATAAATAGTGATCACGTTAGTTTGCTAAGTTTTTGCTAAGCCCTTTTAATATCCTTATATAACATTATCCGTATCTTCCGATACATGAACAGATATTTTAAACTTTGCGTACCACAGCAATATTTACCATAGCTTCCGATGTTCAGAGTTAACAAATCAAGATTAAAATCATAAATTTACAATGCCTACAATTAGGACATGAAGAGCTACAAGGGTGACATAATTGAAAACAGCAAGTTATGCAGTACTAATTTAAGAAGTTAGACACTAAAAAAAATGACAAAGAGAAAAAAACTCATTTTTACTCCGCATAAAATGTGAATGCACAAAACTTGACTTGCCTTTATAGTAACATATATGAGGACTGGAAGAAACTCATCTGCTCCAGGAGGATTTGCATTTGAGGCAATGGAAACATTTAACAATAAGTTGTTGATAACTCTACAACAATTGAGGATACAGACAAGTTTATCTCTAGGGGCCTTGTACATATTGATCTTCTGCAGTTCTTTCTGTGCTAGCTGAAATGGTAGGAAATACAGCAAAAGTTAGCATAAAATCAATTAGTATGTTCAACATGGCGTTAAGAAGTCTTTCATAAATAAATTAGTAAAAGGTAGAACCACCATCAAAGAAGAGGCATAGCCAATATCTTCTCGACTCTCCAAATTGATGATGGGGGTTTGCTTTTCTGAAGAAGTAATCAAGAAGTTTGACACCGACCCGCAGATATTATCATATAATCATCATCTTCGTTCCAACTAAATATACCATCAGCTATCTGCTATTTAAGCACTATTTGGCATGGCAGCCAGGGACTCTTGCCACTGCACCTAAGTTTCAAGCACATGGCCAAGTGGGAAAGTTGTCTTCCCGCATGTGAAATGTTCAAAGCATGCACCAATTACATGAAACGCAACCAATGCCCTCACCTTAAACAGCACTTAGATGTCATATTATAGCTATGCTCCCAAGTTTTTTCAACATTTTAAAATGTGCTTGCAACATGAAATATTGTTTACCAAGTTCAAACACAAGCAAACTCATTTTGATAGAATACTTAGGGTTTTTTTGCTCTTTATTATTGTGGGCTCTGAAAATTCGCGCCCTAGTCTCCCCTGCTTTTGGGAGAGTTTTAACGGATTAAGTTTTGGGGTAAATTTTTAGAAGGCAGATTGGGTTTGTAAATAAGACACTATCCAGAGATTTCGCCCTCATTTTGCGAGGACTTTAGATTTGAGTTATGGTTTCCTATAGGCACAAACCCTTATAGTTAACTACTCCCGATAACGAGCGAGAACTTGCAATTAAGGCTACTCGTCAATCAGATACGTAGAGATATATGGTATATGGTGTATAGCAGCAGCATGGGTTTATGTATTTGAAAATTTGATATTTAAAATCAGAAATTCACCACCTTGCACTTAAAGAGGATGGTGGAGGGAATGATGATGAACCCGATTAAGATCTCATAGTTCTGTTGTCCCAGGTCATCATTGTCCCTAGTCTACTTAGTTAGAGGAGGTAGTCGACCTAACCTAACAGAAGGATCCTTATCAGCAGCCATAGGTTGCTTCGTCCAAGGGAACTTTGTAAACCTGAGGTGAATATTTGTCTAAGGGGACAAATTTGAATTCACCTTATCTGACAGAGGGTTTTGTGCCCTATCGATTATATCCTACTGATTCATATCTCAAGAATTTAGTGTTAATAGGGAGCATACGGGCTCTAGCCATGACCATAATTTAGTTGTGTCATTTGGCAGCAAACCATCCAGTATAGAGGACCTCAGTCATAACCGTTTATCTATGACGTCATTTGGCGGCAAAATCGCTGGCAATAGACTGTTTGAGAATGAATCCTAATGATATTCTTGACCATATACTAGCTCTTCGTCAGCTGAAGTGATATTTAAAATTTTCCACCTCGGCAAACTTCTGCGAAGGATAGATGAATTTTGATTTAAACGTTTGATGATTCAATTTCAATTTTAAATATTTTGAATTTCATGATTTTTGGAGTTTGGATTCTCATGTGCATTTAGGAGGTATTTTGAATATTTGGGGACCCCTTTGATTGAGATTTTCTGTCAACACGGCCATCATCGGGGTTTTTATGGGTATCCATTTATGTTTTTGTATTTTGTGGAAATTTAGGAGCATTTGAAAAGGTAGGATCCCCTTCGGTTGAGAAACGTTCAACACGGTCATTATCGGGGATAAAATAGTTTATATGTTTATCATTGGAACCGTGTCAATTGTATTTGCCCGCTAATAGAAGATCATGTTTAATGTAGGTTTATGACTTTAACAGTAAACCATTCATTTAATAGACATTGAAGGCCTAATATGAACTATAAAACAAAATATTCTGGTCGATGCCGCAACCATATATTTCTTTAACTGTTCGAGCCATGTAGACCTCCTATCCATTCACACAGACGGATCGGGCTCGGATTTAAGTTCATTTCTAGACCCCCACAATATTCTCATACATCACATGTGTACCCATGACACGTTCGCCGGGGCACCATGCACGTATTAGGGGGGGGGGGGATTTTAATGTCGGTCAGTTGTGGGAAATTGTCATTTGAATGAGTACGGTGCTATATTTGAGAGTTTGTAGATGCCTTCTGTCCACTTGCATGAGTGTTGCGGATCTAGTTGCATGGCATCACATTACGAGCTGTTAGTTGCTTTGGGCATGTAGGCTGTCATGCACTAACAAGCCTCCAAATACTAGTTCCAGACACTTGCATCTATTGTTGTTCTTTCGCTTTTGCCCACAAACAACATGTTGAATATATAACGGGCCTCCCTCAGCTGCTCGTAGGCATTTCCATTCGCTATAGTCATACAACATTTTTGTTCATAGATGACATTTTGTGTATAGCAGGTCTCCTACAAGGGCCCGTGGACACTTGCATTTGCTACACCCCTTATGCATTTGCTACAATCTTCAATCTTTGTTGTACACCTGCTATTGCCACTTGCAGACAGGTAGATGTTTTCATCCACGGCTCGATGTTGATTACAGGATCCTGTGTTTGCTGAAGTCCTACTGTAGTTGCCTACATATGGCATATAGTGAATGTGTTGGGTCTCCAACAGCAGCTCATGGGAGCTTTTATTTGCTATATATCGTCCTCCCTTGCTTGCAATGGATCAACGTATTTGTTGGCTATTGAATGATGGTTGGTTGTAGGGGTGTTGTAACATTCATAACCTGTTGAACATCACCTGCATATACATACTATACATGCTATTGTACATATGATGTATCTTCCATCGTCGTTAACAAATATTAGCATTTATCATACGCTACACTATACACATGTAACAGGTTTTGTCGCTTGCAGGCAAGATAATATATTCATCTATGTGTTAATGTAGGTTGTCATATAAGTTGCATTTGTCGTCAACTTCTCTCTATACATGTTGACTATTGCTGTTTGTAGGGAATTGTTGTATTTATTGCATATTTTTCATATCTCATTGGATGCATCAAATCATTATGTTCATGGTACATTGATCTCCGCTTGCGGGGGTTTGATGTGCTTGCTTATGCCTTAATGTTAATCACAGAGTATTGTCATATTCATTACACGCTGATTTTGAGTGTTTGTAGGGGATTGCTATATTCATCCACGAGTGGATTGACATTGACTGCTAAAGTATCATTGCATCCAGTGCAACTCTTCTAATGTCGCTTATAAATACGTTGCGTTCCTTATATATGATCATTGGTAAGTCATCATATTCAATGTATGTGTATTATTGACATTCGTAGGTGATCTATTTCATATATATTGTAAGTCACTTACTACTTGTCAACATCTGTGCATTGATTGATATAGTTGTCATATTCGTTGAGGGTTTGCGCTGTTGCTTGTGAACAAGTCAACAAATCATATCTATTTCGACTTCAGCACAAGTCCCTTGTTCATTTATTGATTTTTTTTTTCGCATAATCAAAACCATTAATTAACATTTTTATATTTTTTAATGTGATTATGCATTCATTAAATTAAAGTCCGATTCCCTCTGCATTTTTGTTTAAGTTCAACTTAGGTCTTCTGTGATCGTTCAAATTCTCTGTAACTATTCAATTTAAATCCAAGTCTCTTACATATGTTTAAGTTATGTATGTCTTCGAACTAAATTTTGGCAGCCTCCTGACGTCTCCCTTATTTGGGAAAAATTTTAAGAGTTATAGCTTGCCCACCCGTTCGGGGGTACCTGTTTGAAAACGCACAATTATTTCCCCACCAGCACTAAGGCACATAAGTGTACTTTAATTTTTCCCTGACGTGCTAAAAAAAGCAAGCACGAGGCTCGCTCGGCTTGGCATAAGTTCCGCAACGTGTTACCTGCCTACCAGCTAAGAAAAGCTTGCATAGGGGGTCCCCGGTGTGCAACGAATGCTAAGAATGGGACTTTGGAGGTCTTTGAGTTTCAAACGTTATACCTGCGTGATGCGGTAGTGGCGACGGTGATGAAAATTGCAAGTGTTTTTTCCCCTCTTTTTTTTTTGAATTTTCTCCCCTCTTCTCTTCTTCTTCTTCTTTTTTCTCTCTTCTTTTTTTTTTGCCTTCTCTTCTCTTTTTTTTTTTTTTCACCTTCTTTTTTTAACAATAAATTATTATTAACAATAGTATTAGTAATGATAATATTATTAGTGATAACATTAATAAAATTATTATTATTAATAGTACTGCTAATAAGAATCATGATAATCATCATCATAAATGATAAAAAATAATAATTATAATAGCGATTATAATTATAATCATTATCAATAATTAATTAAAAAAAGACAACTAACTAATAATAAGATAAAGATAAAATAGAATAAAACCTAGATGCTCTGATTGGATTAGGTGTGAGGCAAGAAAGAAGGAAATTTGTGGGCTGATTTGCTATTTGGTTTGCTGTTCGTGGACATCAAAGGATGAAGGCGGTTGGATTTTACGGCAAAAGCTAGATAGCAGGAATCTTAACGTGAAATGGGAGTAAAAGAACAGCTTTTATGTGAATGAGAAGGATATGTGGATGGGGGAATAAAGAGAAGAGAAGTGCCCAGTTATGTGAGTGAAGAAAGTTTGGAGGAATCAGAGTGTGGGAATCAGCTGCTACCGGTAGAAAAGAGGGACTGGTGTCCTGGTTGGGTGGATATCAGGTGAGGAAGGCAATTTCTAGATAGAACAGAAGTCCAACTAGCAGTGAGGGTAGGCAAAAGGGTTCGATACAAGTGAAATCGGTCTCTGCGGGTGGCCATGAGGTAGGGGCTGGGTTATGGGATTCTAGCGGCTGATTGGAGGAAGGAAATTGGACGTGAAGAGGTTGCAAGGAAGAGGGTCAGACAAAGGATTGGAGCTGGGCGGCTTGACGTGGGTTTTGATGGGTTAAGTGATTCATGAGGTTGCTTCTTGGTTCGGTAGGTGGGAAGGCTGCTTTCTTCACGTGATCGGGAGTGGAGGGACAGTAAGGTAGAGGGGGAGATCAACTTGTATGTATTTGAGGAAGGAAGAAGGCCGGAGGATCGTGTGTAGGTCTTCGAACGGAGAGGATCGGTCGGCTGTTGCGGCTTTGGTTTGATCGTTATGTGGGTTTGTGTAAATCAAAAGCCAAAAGGAGGTGGAGTAGACGTTTGCTCGCTTGCGGTCTGGGGTGATCAGAATTTCAAGCATAAAAAACAGCAGGAATGAAGATCTTGTTTCTTATTTTAATGACGAGGGGATTGGAGCTGGGCGGCTTGACATGGGTTTTGATAGGTTAAGTGATTCATGAGGTTGCTTCTTGGTTCGGTAGGTGGGAAGGCTGCTTTCTTCACGTGATCGGGAGTGGAGGGATAATAGCTTAAATTGTAAGGTAGAGGGGGAGATCAACTTGTGTGTATTTGAGGAAGGAAGGTCGGAGGATCGTGTGTAGGTCTTCGAACGGAGAGGATTGGTCGGCTATTGCAGCTTTGGTTCCATCATTCTGTGGGTTTGTGCAAATCAAAAGCCAAAAGGAGGTGGAGTAGACGTTTGCTCGCTTGCGGACTGGGGTGATCGAAATTTCAAGCATAAAAAATAGCAGGAATGAAGAACTTGTTTCTTATTTTAACGACGAGGGGATTGGAGCTGGGCGGCTTGACATGGGTTTTGATGAGTTAAGTGATTCATGAGGTTGCTTCTTGGTTCGATAGGTGGGAAGGCTGCTTTCTTCACGTGATCGGGAGTGGAGGGGCAGTAGCTTAAATTGTAAGGTAGAGGGGGAGATCAACTTGTGTGTATTTGAGGAGGGAAGAAGGCCAGAGGATCGTGTGTATGTCTTCAAACGGAGAGGATCGGTCGGCTGTTTCGACTTTGGTTCGATTGTTTTGTGGGTTTGTGCAAATCAAAAGCCAAAAGGAGGTGGAGTAAACGTTTGCTCGCTTGCGGACTGGGGTGATCGGAATTTCAAGCATAAAAAACAGCAGGAATGAAGAACTTGTTTCTTATTTTAACGATGAGGGGTAGACGAAGCTTGTCCGAGGTAATTACGGGATTTACGGAATGCAAACTGAGCAACCGTCTAAGATTTCTCAGCAAGATTTAAGGAATTTCTGACGACCAGCTCGATTGATATGAGGTAACGCATTAAATTGTGATTTGATTTTTGTTTTGATTTTCTTTAATAATAATAATAATAACAATAATAATAATAATAATAATATCATTATAGCTGGAGAAATTTTCCTATTTTGAAACTCGTGGGTCGGCATATTGATTCATGCGCATTTTTTCAAAATCTATGCAATTCGTCTCAGAATGCACGTTGATTTTGCCGCGCGATTCTAATTGGATAAATTGATAGTCCCTTTTGGGTATTAACGATGCTCCGAACGCAACGACAAAGTCTATTTTGTAATCGGATGCCGCTTGAGAGACGTCGCGCATCAATTTCTGCAATTTGCGCGTCGTTGGCTCGGGACTTGCACTGATTTCCCCGCGCAAATTTAATTTATCAAATTGTCTGTCGCTTTAGTGTATTAACGATGTTCCAAAAGCAATGGTGAAGTCCATTTTGCGATTGAACTTTCGGGCAATGTTGCATGTAAATTTCCTCGGGTTGCACGTCAACACCTCAGGATTCGTGCTGTCGCATCTAATGACCCCAATTGAACAGGTTGATGGAGATTTTTGGGTGTCGACGATGTTATGGACTCAACGGTGAAATCCGTTTTGCGATTGAACGTCGTTTAGGTGATGTCGCGCATCAATTTCCGGTGTCGATCGCCCCTTTGGACCGATCTCATTTGATTTGACTGCGAGGGGTCCCCTCTTCGGTGAACTTGACGTCCTCAAGCGGCAACTTGAGGATTATTGTATACTATGAGAAATTTACACAAACTTCCACAAGGATCAACTATTCAAATGCTTTGAAAATCAACCTTCTACAACTTGAGGATTATTGTATTACTCTTTCATCTTTCCCTTCTTCTCTTAAATTCTTATCGAATTTACACTCCATCAAAGAAAGGAAACTTTTTTTTTGAAGTTCTATTTTTAAATTATTTAAAGAATTCCGATGCAAAATATTCATATGATTATATGAGAGCATCAAACTTGCACCTTATTAGAAAAAAATGATGAAAAGAGAGAAACATAAGGTTCACAGAATCTAATGTTTCAAATTAAGAATATCTTCTTCTCCGGCTAACAAAGGGAGTAGATTATAAGCACCAAAAATTTCGGTATTCTGCACTAACCAGCCAAGATGTCTCATTTTGAAATTCTGGCTTTATATCCAGGTTTTCTGGTCTTACAAACTGTTGTAGTAGAGCCGTCTTTTCAAAAAGCTCCTCATCATGTTGCACATCCTCAGGAAGTGAAGCAAACGCCCGATTAAAAAGTTTTGTCATGACATATTTCTCCAATCCCTACATTTAGGAATATAGCATAAAAAAAATGTCCTGGAGTTCAGAAAGCATGTGAAATGAAAGACAAAACATGGAGGAATTAAAATAGGTAAATGGTTAGTTTGATTGTGAAAATGAGATGTCAAAACTAATGTTATATAGGAATACCCGACAATAAGGCTTAGGCTTCGTTTGGGACGGCTTTCTTACTGCTTCTTGAAGCAGCTTTCTAGTACAAATTTTTTAATTTTTGTACTAGAAAGCAGCTTTAAGAAGCAATAAGAAAGCCGTTCCAAACGAAGCCTTAATCATGTCAGCATGAGAAACAATACAAGGTAGACTAGATATTCATGTTCAAGACCCAAGCTAATTAAAGACCATCAAAAAAATCAATCTTACAAATAAACTTTAATTAAAGTAATAATCAACTTTAAAATTAATTTCAAAAAAAAAATCTTTAAATTTTAAATTACTTGCTTTATATCTCCTTGAAGAGGTATAAAGTAGAGCTTAGCAGAAGTAAACCCTACTAGATGCACATACATGTCATGGTATGTCCCAATGCATATGGTTAAAAGGCCTCACATTAAGGACAGATAATTTTACATTCATTCATGTCCCATAAGATAATTATCTCGACTTAACAGTGTAATTTAATTGAATACGCCTTGGTAGATGTCAAGTACGCTGGCTAGTGGCAGTCCTAGTTCAAACTGTATGTCCAGTTGTGTAAGCTTTGACTATGTATAGTCGCAATATCCATTTCACCTCTTTTTGTGGGAATTTCTTATAACTCTAAAAATTTTAAGTCTGGCATCTTTTCAAACCTACTAGGTAGATTTCGTCTATCTAGGAATCTATGTTTTCTTTGACTTGAGAAAACCGGAGATAACGAGACTTCCTCTAAAAAATGCAATTCATTGTGGCCAACAAAGCGTCTCACGGCCAATGGAAACAACTTTGGTTTCTACTGGTGCGGGCATTCCTAAATATGGAAATGTTGAGGCTGAGACACAAGATGCAGCTAAAATAGAGTTCTTAAAGGATAAAGTTCACATCGAATTGATTATGCCAGAAGATTCAAAGGATGAAATTCAACAATGGGACCTTTGACCACATTGGTTCCACAGAAAATCCAATTATTCAGAACCAGATTCATCTATTGGGGCAGCTGTAGCAGCTTTATTGACTGCTCCTCGAGTTTTCTGCACTCTCACATTTTCTTTGGCATGGGCATGCCCAAAAATAAAATTTTCCAGTGGAAAATCTTATCATCGACATTATACCAAATTTTATGGCATTGATGGAGGTGCAATTGCACGTCTAGTGCATGATGCTATCATGGACCAGAGGATTTGGGAATCCCAATTCGATGAACGGCAAAGACCTATTATGCAAAACAAGGAACTCCCACAATGGTATCCTATCACCCTCTTCAATGAGCTATACTATCTTAATGCTGGGGGAAACATTTGGACAGATGGGTTGCCACCTATGCAGAGTTTAGCAACAATTGAGGAAAGAAGGTTCTAAAGACAATAGCTGAGCTTCACTAAACCTGCAAGATAGAAACCTACAGTAGAAGCTAAAGCATAATAGAGAAGATGAACAGTGGAATGTAACAGTATTTTCATTTTCTTTTGCTTTCTGTTTACATCTCTATATATAGAAGAGGATCATGACACGTGGATGGTTAAGATTGATTTGTGTTTAAGCTATGGCTTTGATTAAGCCAAGTGGCCTTTTGTCAGAGGCGGTTGCTTGAGTAGTGGAAAGGCCTTTGTTTGCAAATGTTGTTGCTGATGATGAAGTGGCTGGTTCCTCTGCTGCTTCAGTGGCCGTCAAGACTTCCCCGCAAATTGACGGTGCAGGCTGAACTGTTAATTTGGAGCGCAAGACCTAGAATCTCTTGGTTGACAGCGGCTTTGTAAAGATATCAACGAGTTGATCCACTGTACTCAGAGGATGAAGCAGTAGATGTCTGGCTTGAATGTGATCGCGAAGGAAGTGATGATCAATTTCGATGTGCTTCGTCCGGTCATGAAACACCGAATTGTTCGCGAGCGCTATTGCGGACATGTTATCGCAATGGAGGATGGTTGGTGTTGAAGATGGCTCATTGAAGTCGGTTAGCAGCCGGCGCAGCCAAAGAATGTCAGTCGTGGCAGTGGCAATGGCTCTGTACTCCGCTTCGGTTGATGACCGAGCGACAGTATGTTGTTTCTTTACGCTCCATGACACAAGAGTTGAACCCAGGAATGAACAATAGCCTGTTGTCGAGTGTCTGGTGGTGATATCACTTGCCCAGTCGGCGTCGGAGAAGGATCTGAGCTCCAGAGAATCACCATATATGGGTAGACCAAAATGAGCAGTTCCATGAATATAACGGAGTAATCGTCGCAACAGATGATAGTGAAGCTGTTGAGGAGCGTGCATATGTTGGCATAGAACATTAACCGCATACGCTAAATCAGGTCTCGTGATAGTGAGATATTGGAGTGAACCAGTGAACTGCCTGTATTTGAGAGGAATGTGGATGATTGGATCGGAGAAAGGTGTGGTGGTCTCTTTTGTGGAGTTTGGATTAGAGAGAGGTTTACAGTTTTGAAAACCTGCTTGATAGAGAATGGATAGAGCATATGGAGTTTGGGAGAGAAAGTAATGATCACTGAATGTTTGAATTTGAATGCCAAGGAACGTGTGGGCATGACCAAGATATTTCATAGTGAATTGAGAGCTGATTTGTAGAATGAAGTTTTGAACCGCAGCTTCATCGTTACCTGTTATTAAGATATCATCTACGTAGATGACAAGGTAAAGACGAAGCTGAGCGGAGGATAGAGTGAGTAGAGAATGATCTGACTGGCTGTGACAGAAGCCTTGGGAGAGAAGATAGGTGGAGAAGGTATTGAACCATTTCCTAGGAGCTTGCTTGAGGCCATAAATGGCCTTTTTGAGAAGGCAGACGTAGGTGGGGTGTAGGCTGTCTTCAAATCCACGAGGTTGAGACATGTAGACTGTCTCGTTCAAGTCTCCGTGGAGAAAGGCATTCGCGATGTCCATTTGATGTACAGGCCACTTATGGAACATGGCGGTGGTGAGAAGAACGCGAATGGTGGGCATTTTGGCAACGGGACTGAAGGTGTCATGATAATCAATGTCGTATTCTTGGCGATGGCCTTGAGCCACTAACCGAGCCTTGTACCGAGCAATGGTTCCATTGGAGTGCCGTTTGGTTCGATACATCCAGCGGCAGCTGAGAATGTTGGCTTTGGTAGGAGAAGGAACGAGGGTACAGGTACCCTGTTTCTGCAAGGCTAGAAATTCAGCTGCCATGGCTGATCTCCAGTGAGGAATTTTGATGGCTTCGGTGAATGAAGTAGGATCAGTGATGGATTGAGAGTGGGATTTATGGAGGAGATTCAGAATGGTGCGTGGTTTTAAGGATCCTGATTTGAATCTAGTGATCATCGGATGATTTGCTAGAACAGGGGATGGTGATATGGTAGGATTGGGGAAGGTACATTGTATAGATGGTTGGGATAGGTTGGATGGGTTTGGGGAGTTGGGCATTAGACTGCAATCCTTTTGAGAATTGAAGATTTGAGCTGGCAAGAGAGTGGATGGAGGTATGAGGAGTTGTGGATTGGATGAGGATGGTTTTGAGGATGAGGATGTAGGTGTGATGGTGGAAGGGTTGATGTAAGGAAAAGTTTCTTCATCAAAGACCACATGACGGGAGATGAAGATTTTGTTGGTTAGAAGATGCAGGCACTTGTATCCCTTATAGGAATAATAGTAGCCGAGGAATATACATTGTAATGCACATGGTTGGAGTTTGTTGCGAGAGGATGGAGGAAGCCATAGGTAGCAGGCACAGCCGAAGACCTTGAGGTAAGAGTATGATGGTGGCTTATTGTGAAGAGTTGAAACGGGGATTTGTTTTGTAGATTGGGGGTAGGCATACGGTTGATCAGGTGAGCTGCTGTTAGGAGTGCATCAGGCCAGAATTGGGGTGGTAGACCTGCTGTGTGAAGAAGAGTTCGAATAGTTTCAACCAGATGCCTATTTTTACGTTCTGCTGTGCTGTTTTGTTCTGGGGTGTAGGGGCAGGCAACCTGATGGTGTATGTCGTTTGTTTGGGTGAAGTTTTGGAATGCAGAGTTCACGAACTCTGAGCCACCATCTGTTCTTAGGATTTTGATGCGATGGTTTAGTTGATTTTAAATAAACTTTTTAAAATGAATTACAATGTTTGTAACTTCCGATTTGGCACGCATTATGAATGGCCATGTGTATTTAGAGTAGTCATCAATGATGAGTAGAAAATAATGGTAGCCTTGATTGGAAATGGTTGGGGACGGACCCCATACATCAAGGTGAAGCAGCTCTAAAGGAGCTGAAGTTACATTAGTAGAGTTGAGAAAGGGTAGTTTATGGCTTTTAGAAGCCGTACATATAGAGCAGAAAGTATAGTTGGGAGAGATGTTGAGATCACTGTATTGAGAGGCTATCATTTGCAGTATTTGACGGTGCGGATGACCGAGATGAAGATGCCAGCGAGTGTGAGAGGATGAGATGGCCGAGTGAGCTGATGGTGCGGCAGTTGTGGATGGGAGTTTAATTGTGTAGAGGCCATTGCGGCAAGGACCTTGAAGGAGATTTGCTTGAGTCTTCAGATCCTTGATTGTAAAGCCGATCGGAGAAAAAGTAATAGAGACGTTGTTATCGTGAGTGAGAGAAGAAACAGAGAGTAAGTTGTGGGAGATAGATGGTACATGATAGATTTGAGATAAAGAGATCTTACTGGTGGGGGTAGGGAGGAGACCGGGACTTGAGTGAGCGATTGAGAGGTTCTGTCCGTTGCCAACAGTAATGTTGTCTGCTCCTTGGTAGGTAGTTGGTTGCGAGAGGTTGTCGATGGAGTTTGTCATATGCGAGGAAGCACCGGAGTCGATATACCAATCTTGTGATGGATTGGCGGAGTCTGCGACTAGAGCTTTGGAGGTAGCACTGTTTGGAACATAATTGACATTCAATCTGTGCCAGCATTGAGCCGCTACGTGACCCCTTTTGTTGCAGATTTGGCAGACAACGGGATTGGAAGGGGATGATCTTCCACCGGTGTTGGTTGTGAATGTAGTGCGTCCGCGGCCTCGTCGACCTCGACCTCTCGACGTATATAAGGCCGTATTAGGATCACTGTGTTGATGTAGGCGAAGAGAATCGGCAGCAAGTGTGATCTCTTCTGTCAGAAGATAGGAGTAGAGTTCTTCTAGTGACAGTGGACTCCGTTTAGTACGAATGGAGGTCTTAAAAGCTTGATAGGATGGAGGCAGACCGTTCAAGGTGTGCAGGATAATATCTTCAGGATGAACTTGGGAGCCGGCAACAGCTATGTTGTCAACCAGTGTTTTAATGGAGGTGAGGTATTGGGTCATAGATAGGTTGCGCATGGAAATGTTGTGTAGCTCGTTTTTGAGCTGAAGAACTCTGAATCTGTTGGATGCTTGAAGTCTCTGCTCCAATGTAGTCCAGATGTCCGCAAAGCGATCTAGATGAAGCACGTATGGTAGGATCGACGATGAGATTGTTGAGCACAATGCTGCTGCTAGATTTTGATCCACGAGGATCCATTGTGTATAGTCTGGGTTTGGTTCGGTGGTGCCGTCGGAGCGCTGAAGTAGGCGGGAGGGTTTTTGAACAGCATTGTCCAAAAACGCCGTAAATCCATTAGCTCTGAGGAGTTTCATAATCTGAGACTTCCATATTGGATAGTTTCAGATGAAAGAGGCTCCGGAACTATGGTTTTTATGTTGGACAGAACGAGCTTCAGAGAGGACGTAATGTTCGGAGTGTCTGTGGAGGTTTTGCTCGATGGATTTTCCGTATGCGATGATGCAGATTGTTCCATTGCAGGGATAGAGGAACTTTCCTCAGTCCTGCTCTGATACCATAAAGACAATTGCTGAGCTTCACTAAACCTGCAAGATAGAAACCTATAGTAGAAGTTAAAGCATAACAGAGAAGATGAACAGTGGAACGTAACAGTATTTTCATTTTCTTTTGCTTTATGTTTACATCTCTATATATAGAAGATGATCATGACACGTGGATAGTTAAGATTGATCTGTGTTTAAGCTATGGCTTTGATTAAGCCAAGTGGCCTTTTGTCAGAGGCGGTTGCTTGAGTAGTGGAAAGGCATTTGTCTGCAAATGCCGTTGCTGATGATGAAGCGGCTGGTTCCTCTGCTGCTTCAGTGGCCGTTAAGAGGTTCTCTCTTGATATATCAAATCTAGTTTGTGAAACTTTAAGCAAGCATATTCCACGAAATAACACTTCACTTGATATCCATGATAGAATGGCATATATGCTTAAAAAATTTAATACCTCTATCACCTCAAATTCTGTTTTTAGGACATCGTTGCTCCAAGGAGAAGAGAATATAGGCCAGTTACTCTATACCTTGAAGGCATTGAATATTATAGGTGGAATACATATGTGTACATTTCTACTCATATTTTTCCCTTATCATGCTTTTTCCAAAGCTTGAGGTCAGCATTCAAAGAGACTTTGAAGCTGCTGTGACAATTCATGAACCTGAGAAAATAAGGATGATGTATGATGGCAAGTAGTTTCAAGGAAGGTTCTTGGTGTAGTTCTACATGATCTTGGATTGGGTGATCCTTGGTTCATTATTGTTGAAGAGATAATCCAAGAATCAATCCTAATATTTGATTCCTACAATTTTCTTTCTATCTACTTGTTCTTTTTACTTCCAAGATGCATCATATTCCTACATCACACAATATTCCAATGATACTTCTTGAATTTAAGTATTTAGTTTTACCTCTTGAAGTTGTGTTCTGATCTATATATTCATTCATTTATAAAATGGATCCAAGAAGCGCACTTGGTCTTTCCACTAAAAGGTGAAAAGAGAATACGAAAGGTCTCAAAGATAAATAATAAAAATACATTTAGATTGCTATATTATACAAATCTAATAACCATCAACAACAAAGTCATTGAAAAATTAAATTTAGAATCAATGAGAATGTTAAGTCGAATGTTTAAAAAAAAATAAAGACAAAAGAAATGGCCATATAAAAAAAGATAATGAAAGTGTATTTTAAGATAAGAAAGTACAAAAAAGGAGTAAGGAGATTTGGGCATATACAATTAAAGGCAAAAGATGCACCAATAAAAAGTAAATAAAACTTATTTCAAAGGCATAAGAACAAAAAGGAACATATTGAAGATCAGTAAAAGGTGTAAAAAGAAGACTAACAGAAATTGGAGTTAATAACTTGTATCACACAAGGTGTGGAAAGAGAATGAGAATCCAAAAAGAGCCCAAATAGTTGAGAAAAGAATAGATGATGGTAGGGAGTAACATCTTATTTGATGTTACAAGGTTAAGCTAACAGCACATCTAGTAATTATAAGACAACTAATCAAAGTGAATGTTATTGTGAATTATCTAAGAAGGCATTTTGGATCCCATTTAAAAACTTGTATTGAAGAGAAAAAAATTTGACGAAGGCCCATTTTTTTTTGCCTGGTTGAATATCTACTTAAGAGATTAAAGACAAGTTCTCAATCACAATCAATCAAAGTAGTGACGTGCAAGATCAACGCAACAATACTCAACCAATTTTAAAAGAAATTCCGAGTAAAACATTGATGAAAGTTTTAAAAATTAAACATGGAAAGCCTGTTGTAATCTCTTTTCATTTGCAGCATTATGATAACATCAGTTATTAAGGACATATATGCACCAGTAAAAGTCTCTTTAAAAGATGATAAACTCACCTCGCCAGCACTTTCAAGTTCTTCCTCTGAACTACCAGCCCAGAGCATATGAGCCCTGAAAGCATCTTCCATATTAGCAAGAAATAATTGCACATCAGCATGATCTTTTTCAGGATCTGGGGCTCTATTTGAAAAGGATACAATGAAGCTGCCAATCCGCAAAAATGTTAGCACTAAAGATCCTTGCATTGAAAGTTCAAAGTTTTTCAATCAGATGGATTATACCAAAATATTTTTGCAACAACACAAATATGTAGTGCAAATACATCATTCAATAACAATGGAATCAACCTTATCATGAACAGAATAAGAGGACTGGTACAATCAATGAACAACTTGATACCCATTTGTTTAAGCCTTGAGGCTCATTTAAGTTCATTTAATTAGGTAATCAAAAAATATTTTGTAAGCTTGATTAATGAATGAGTTTGAACAGTGATCTGCTCATTCATTAAGTTCATGAAAAGGCTTATTAGGTATTTAATAAGTAGATTACTAAGAGTTTGATAAACTTATTCAATGATACTTGAGTTGCTTATATAATATTTGTCCAATGATTTTATATTAACTTTTTCCATCACAAGGGGAATGCTACTATATTACTAGAGTAACAAGTCGTCATCATCATCATCATCATCAAGCCTTTATCCCACTACGTGGGGTCGGCTACATGAATCCTTTTTCTCCATTGTGTCCTATTAAAAGTCAAATTCTCGTTTAAATCTAATAAAGAAAGGTCATTCCTAATATTTTCTAACCAAGTCTTTTTAGGTCTACCCCTACCTTTCTTAACATAAGTCAAATCTAATACCTCTACTCTCCTAACCGGGTCATCGCAAGGCCGCCGTTTTATGTGACCAAACCAACTAAGGCGACTTTCTCTAATCTTAACAAGTATGATGAAAATTTATATTGACCAAATAGCTAGATGGTTCTATTTTTCTCCAAAATAACACTTGAAATTTAAAAAGTGTTGAAATTATAGTGAGTGAATTAGGTGGATTTAGGTGAACAATTAGGAATACATTTATGTTCTATATAGAAGTTAAAGGCTAAAAATTTTTAACATCTGAGAGTTATAAAGGCTCAAGTTTGGTTACGAAGTAAGTAAAAGAACAAGTAAACAAACTAGAAAAGGGTTTATAAACATAAACATAGTTAAAGCTCAAGCTCAGCTCAAAATGAACAAAATAAATAAATAAATTAGCTTGAATAAGATAGCATACAACTCGGCTTGTTTATGACCCTATATTTAATCAAGCTTTTCTCTATTGATTGATAAAAAAAGCATAGCTAAATGTTGATTATGCAAGCAATCCTTCGAGGAAAAGTTCAATATGAATGAAGGAGAAATGGAGATATTCTTGAGAAATTATTCTTATTAATTTAAAGCCTATGTTAACCTCTATATAAACAAAACAAGAGGAGAAAAAGCCATGAGTCCAACGTACATACCTAACACCCGTCGGATCCAAGAACTCCTCCGCAAAATCTGGCTCAAATTTCGCCGAAGCACTATAAAACGGCGCCGTTTGCGTCATTTCCCGGAACTCCTGCGCGAATCCTGCGATCCTCTCCTCGATCGAGCCCCGTTCGCCTCTATAAAAAGAAGCCGAACCCACTGCTCTTCTCCCGTTTTGAACTCTCTGTCCCGAAGCTCTCCCCCCTCACACGAACTCCTCTCTCCCATTCGCTACCCGCAAGCATCACGTCGCCTCCTCCGATCTCCAACAAGCCTCTAGCGACGACCCAACCTCCGACTTCGCATCTCCTCTCAAACCCCAACCTCCACCAAAGCCAAACTCCTCCTCTTCTTAGGCCGCCGACCTCCTCCTGTTGCCCCTGCTCGGTTCGATCCAACCAGAGAGAGAGAGAGAGAGAGAGAGAGAGGATTGGCTCTATGAAACATTGTTCTCCACTCATTAGTCATTACTACTAAATGCTCCTTGAGGTGTTAAATCCGCCTAGCATATATCTATTTGGACAAGTTCTAACCAATACATTCAATCTACCTCATTCCTACTTTGTCTTTCCATGTTGTTAAGCTTCAACCTTTTTTGTACATCCCTATAACATAAAAGTAAAATTTCCTCTACCTTATCCTCAATAAATGCAAATCTTGCAACCCCTAGCATATTATCATATTTATCAACCTACCTTTGAAAGTTTTGCTACAAGTTTATTTTAATATTCTCATTATCATCATATTTAGCTCAGCTATTAGTTCTTTCTTTATTTTCAAGCATTTAGATCCCTCTAATGATATTCTATAAATTTTATCTTAAAATTCATCATTTTTCATAGTAAAAGTATCCGTGATTGAGTTCAGGTTTTAAAACTCAAAAGAGACATCTAGAAGTCATAATTGAACTTTTCCCAAGCACCATGCTTGTTATCCAAGAGAGGAAACATGCTTGTGGCCATCCGTGTGTGTGTGTGTGATTTGCAAAATACATATGCATATAATGAATACATTAGTACATATTTCAATGCATGTGGGGTTTTCTTGAAATATTCAAAGATGGTCAATTATGCAGATGATTACCATTTGAACAAAGCACAAGTTTTCATTTAAGAGTATGTAAACGTCTTTTGTCCGCTTGTACGAATATTATGGATCAAGTGACGTTATTTAAAAGTGCGTTGGGTTTCATTTGTCGTACATTGGCGGTGTTATTTAGTTTATTTTATTAACTGCGACTTGTCATTTTCTTCTGCCTAACTTATAAGAGTGTGCTTCAGCTTGTAAATGAGTTATGCGATGCATCATGAGTCATCCATCTCTCGTTTATAAGTGAGCTAATCTATTTGATGTGACAACCTAGAGCTAGAAGTTTTCCTGGTTCTATTTACCAGTGATCCGCAGTTCTAACTACAAATTCCCTACTTCTACTAGCAAGTGAATCGTAGCACTGAGTTGCGGGTCATTTAACGCTTCTTGCAGGCAAGTTATCGTGCAATGCAAGCTTTGTTAACATTACTCGTGGGCAAGCAATAGGCATTCAGAAGTCACCAGTTATTACATGTAGGTGAACTGCATTTAATGTATAGTTTACAACATTACCTATAGATGGGACTGTTGTGCACATTTCAAGTCTTCTGCTATTACTCATGAGCGGGTTGTATCAGGTACAAGTTTTCCATGTTGCTCATAGGTGGGAATATTGTATGCATTGCAAGTTCGTATGCTTTACCATAAACCTACTACTTTTAACTCAAAGGCAACATGATGCATGCATGATGAGGCTCCTATAGTAGCTCGTAGGTGGACTATTGTGCAATGTAAATTTCATTAATACTATTTGTGGGTAAGTAGTAAACGTTCAGGGCCGCCCGCTACTGTATGAAGGTGGACTGAGCCCAATGTGACATCTCCCAATACCGTATGTAGGCACGATTAGCATATGCATTACAAGTCTTTTATCATTGCCTGTGGGCAGGCTGCATTAAATGCAGGTCTTCTAGTGTGGCTTGCAAATGGTATTGTTGTAAGCATCACGAGTTCGTATGTCCTTCCATAATCCTATTATTTTAACTCGTAGGCAAGCTATTATACACACCGCATGTTCGTGTTTTATACCTATAGGAAAGTCACATTTATCACAACCCTAATTCATAGGCAGACTACTGTGCATATAACAAGTCCTCAACCATTGACAGTGGATGTAATATTATGCCCTTGCTTCTAGATGGTTTATTATATACACATCTATATCTGTAGGGAATTGATATAGTCAAGAAGTATTATTTCATATTTTTTTAATCTTCTTGTGTTTTAGACATAATGTAAATTAATTTTGTAAGGCCCTATGATGGAAATCTTCCCATGATCATGCCAGGCTGGGTGCTCTTAGGTTTGTACTTCATTTTCTTTCTACTTGTGTTTTCTTGCTCCTTTTCTCCTGTGGTTGTTCGATTTTCCCTATTGTCTTTTCGTTTTCCCTGTTGTATGCTTTGATTCTCTGCTAGTTGATTGGATTTCCTACTGGCTGTTCGGTTTCCCTGCTAGCTTCTTATTTTCCCTACTGCCTTCTCAATTTCCCTATGGGTTGCTCGATTTTCTCTTTGCTAATTCCTATGCATGGAGTTTTAATGTGGGTTGAATTTGGTGGTTTTGATTGGCTATTTTGATGGCACATTTATGTGATCTATTAAATGATATTATCCCTTCTTTCTCCTATAAATTGGGACTGAACTCCTTTGCGCAAGGAGTTTTTGGAATGTGATCAATTAAAAAACCCAAGGGTTTTTAGCTTGCGAGCTGGTCTTCTCCCTATCCCCTATTACTTTGTTCGGTCCTTTGACTGATTGTTCTTGGATGGGAGCTAAGGAGTTGCAGCTTTGTCGTCCAAATATCTACCAACGTATTACTGAATCATTCTCATCAGGAGATGAGATTCTTTCACCACAGAAAGATTGATGCAATCAAGATTTACTATTTTCTTGTGTTTTGGACATAATGTAAATTTATTTTGTAATGTCCTATGATGAAAATCTATCCATGATCATGCCATTTTGGGTGCTCTAAGACCAGTACACTCCATTGTCTTTCCACTTTTGTTTTTTTGCTCCTTTCTTCTGTGGTTGTTCGGTTTTCCCTGCTGTCTTTTCGTTTTCCCTATTGTCTGCTTGGATTCCCTACTAGCAGTTCAGTTTCCCTCCTAGTTTTTTGTTTTCCCTACTATCTTCTCGGTTTTCCCTATGAGCTGTTCGGTTTCCTGTTGCTGACTGCTCGGTTTCCCGCAGTTGATTCCTATGCAAAAAGTTTTAATGTGGGTTGAATTTGGTGATTCTAATTGGCTATTTTGGTGGCACATTTATGTGATCTATTAAATGTTATTCCCTCTTCTTTCTCATATAAATTGGGGATGAATTCCTTCGTGCAAGGAGTTTTTGGAATGTGATCAATTAAAAAACTTGAGGGTTTTTTAGCTTGCAAGATGGTCTTCTCCCTATCCCCTATTACTTCGTCTCGGTTTTCTTTCTACTTATCTCCACGATTTTCCTTCGACCTGTATCTTTCTTCTCTAAACTATTGTGAGTTAATCATTTTAAACTTGAGGGTTTCTTCTAAGCTTGCAAGCTCTATTCTACCTTCCCGCTACTTCTTCGTGTTGGTCTTCTTTCTAATTCTTCTCTTCACAATTT